GCAGTACCATAATCGGGTCTAGGGGTCAGGTGTAACTTTCCAGTTTTGCCCATCAATCTCCAAGGTCCAGGGCAATACTGGAAATCTGGTCCGGTTCAAGGGTTCAATTAATCCTACACTGCATGTGCCTCGGGTCTCACCCTAGCGGCTGAGACAAGCCACCTCAACAGTTGACAGCACACCAGTGTCAGCGTTGGTAGGATAAATCTCCCTAGACTTATCCAACGACTGTGAACATTTAAAACCAACACAAGTCTCATTACGTGTCTAGTTTTAGGGTCTTACACAGAAGTATACCACACAACATGAATCAAACATGTACTTCATTTATTTACACTAAATATCAAAAGTACATCAAAACTGATTGAAGCTAAGGGCATACAAAAACTGTCCAACATGTAGAATCCAGGAGGTAACTCCATATACACCTCTTGCAAATCACCATTGAGGAGGAATCATTTCTCTTAATGAAAGGGTGTGATCTAATTGAGCTTGAACATAGCCAAAATTTTCAAGCGCGTGTCTAATTCTGTCAAACCATGCTCTTGGAGACTGTTTCAGTCCATATAAGGCTTTATTCAGCTGGCAGACCTTCCCTGCCTTTGTATTGTAGAATCCAGGAGGTAACTCCATATACACCTCTTGCAAATCACCATTGAGGAAGGCATTTTTGACATCCATCTGAAACAATGTCCATGAGAAATTTGTTGTAAGGGATAGTAAAACTCTGATGGTATTCATCTTCGCCATTGGTACAAAAGTTTCCAAATAGTCTATGCCATAAGCATTATGTTTCACTGTAAACACCCATTTGCACCCAACTGGGTTTCTTTCCTTTAGGTTGCTCAACTAAATTCCATGTATTGTTCTTTAGAAGAGCATTCATCTCTACCTACATTGCATCCTTCCACTTAGGTACTGACAAAGCTTCTTGCACTGTTTTGGGAATGAGAATAGCAGTAATAGAAGCCAAAAAGGACTTATAGGATGGGGATACATGATCATAAGACAGAAACTGAGAAATACAATGGACTGTAGATGAGGTACAATGATGCTTCCCTTTACAAATTGCAATTAGAAGATCAAGATCATCCAAAGGAAGAGTAGAAGTTTCAACAATGGGAGGTATAATAGGGTACATCCTTGAAGAACGTGACATCCATAAACACAAACTGTTTCCTAGAAATAGGTTCATAGCAGCAATATCCTTTTTGATTTTGTGCATAACCAAGAAAAATACATTTTGAGGATTTAGGATCAAATTTAGAGTAATGAGGCCCAAGAATTTGAACAAAGCAAGTACATCCAAAAGTCTTAAGGGGAATAGTAAACAAGTCCTTATCGGGATATAATAGGTTAAATGGAATTTTCATGTCTAGGACCCATGAAAGAACTTGGTTGATGAGGTACACAACAATGTGGATAGCATCCCCCCAGAAACATGTGGAAACATTGGAGTTTAGCATAATGCTTCTTGCCACCTCCAATATATGCCTATTTTTCCTCTCAACAACCCCATTTTGTTGAGGTGTACAAGGACAAGTGCTCTGATGGATAACCCCATGGTCAAGGAAGTATGAAGCTAATGGTTTTGCAAAGTATTATTTGGCATTACCGGATCTGAAAACTTTGATTTTGACCCCAAATCCAGTCAAAACCATCTGAAGGAAAATCCGAGTTAGGTTAGGGACCTCATCTCGAGTGCGCTTAAGATAAACCCATGAGAAACGAGTGTAAGGCATCAACAAATAGCAGAAAATATTTGTATCCCCCCATGGTAGTGATGTGATATGGTCCCCAAACATCAGTATGCACAATTTCAAAGAGAATACTACTTTTATTGCTTAAAGAATAGGTTGTTCTACAATGCTTTGCAAGTTCACAACTTTAACATTTTAAATTAGACATTTGGACTGACTCAAACAAATTGGGAAATAAACTCTTCAACGACCTAAATGACAAATGACCTAACCGATTATGCCAAAGCATAACCTGACTCACATACTGAAAAACTAATGACCTCCTCACTTCTTTATCTTCCCCTTGTGAATGCCCTCCAAGCAAATAGATTCCATTCGTCTCACGGCCAATCCCAATCACCTTCCGTGTCTCCAGATCTTGAAAAACACACCAATTAGGAAAGAAAGTCACTGAATAGTTTTGGTTTTTAGTAATGTTACTAACTGAAAGCATGTTAGTACTAAGTTTAAGAACATGCAAAATTGAGGACAAGGAGATGGCATTAGATAGTCTAATGTCTCCCTTGCCAAAGAAGGGAACAAGGGAGTCATTAGCAATAGATACTTTGTCTCTACTAGAGGATAAGCAATAAGTAGTAAACAATGAGGATAAGCCAGTCATATGATCAGATGCACCTGAATCTATAAGCCAACAAGGTTCATTGTTACCTGGGGCTAAAGCATGATATGTTGAAGCTCTTATACCCGAATGAGTGAATGCTGAAGTAGGAGTAGCTGATGTTGTAGTAGGTAATTGAGATAAGGGGGCTAAAGTGCCAACTTCACTTTCCAATTGAGTCAGAGCAGCTCAGACAACAACTAAAGTGTTTAGAGATATGGCTTTTGTGCTTGAGGATGATACACCATCAGTAGTAATTGCCACATTAGCATTCCCCTTTTTGTTTCAGAGCTTTGTTGGAATTAGATGTGGATACAACTTTCAACAAGTACCCCTTGTGAGCTTTGGTTTCTTGCAATGATCACAAATTATTTCCCTCTTTTCTTCTTTTTTCATGTTCCTTTCCTTGTCACCCTCAAACTTTGGTTTCACAGTTGCTAGGATTGATTCCATAGGCTGATATTGTAGCATAACCTTTCTCCTACTTTCTTCACTGTGCACTAAAGAATAGGACTGAGACAAGGTCACACTCTCCCTGGTGAAAAGCTGTTGCCTCATAATATCATATTCTGGATTCAGGCCAACTAGAAATTCAAAAACTCTATTGGTTTCAATTTGTTTTCTGTATGTTTGTGCATCCTTTAGACTTTTCCACTCAATTGTCTCTAGGTGATCAATTTCATGCCACTAAGACTTCAAAGTAGAGAAGTAAACTGAGACCAATTTCTCTCCCTGCTTAAGATTATTGACTTCACACTTCAGCTCATAAGCCCTAGCAACATTAAGTGGCTACGAATAGGTTTCTCTCAAGATGTCCCAAATTTCCTTAGCAGTTTTGGCCCACAAGTAATTTCGGCTGATATGAGGCTGCATGGAATTGCACAACCAAGTCATGACTAAATAGTTCTCCTGAACTCATTTGGCAAATAATGGGTCTTCCTTGGCTGGTTTCTTTACATCCCCCTCATATAGCCTAATTTTCCTCTTCCGCCAATAGCCACCATAGCTGATTGAGCCCATTCCAAGTAATTTGATCCATCAAATTTGACATTGATAATCTGAAAATTATTTTCAGTCATGTTTCCAGCCCCCAACACACCTTCCCCTTGGGTCTTTAACTCAGTTTCTGTCATCTCTATCAAGGAATTTATCAAAAGAACTCCCTTTTATGCTGAAATAGAGGTAATTATCACCCAGAAATTTCTAATAGCCCATTTAGACTGCTGAAAAAAGTATAGAAAACACCCAGAAATGTTGAAACAGTTCTAACAAGTTCTCCAAAGTAATTATCAGTCAATCTGAATACTAAAACAGAACTAACTGTTACCCAGAAATCGATAACAGTCAGGATGTTAGGGTTTAACCAACTAGAACTGGTCATAGGTTTGAAAAAAACCCTAAAGAAAGTCCAGAAAAATTAAGGGAAAACCAGCTGCTCCTTCCAGATCACTCTAACCAACTTCTGGTGGCTGTTGATTTCAAAAAGAAACTGAGGCTTACCCAGAAAAGCCTGACTGCCACTTCCAATCCTTGTTTGAAACCTAATCTTGAAAATCTTTCCTTCCCTCTGATTCTTCCGGATCACCAAAAACTTTCCAAGGCTCTTCAACCTCTTGAAAAGCTTCTGAACTCAATCAGTGATCTCCAAGAACCAGCCGATGGACTACTCTTGCTCAAACTTCCAACCCTAGGAAGTTCTCATGCAGTCGACCTGATTAGACTCACATGAGAAACCCTAGGTTGGCTCTGATACCAACTTGTGTTGTAGAGACTGTATTCAGTCCTACTGTAGATGAGAATTCAACAAGAGAAAGTTCAGAAAATAGAAGAGAGAGAGAGAGAGAGAGAGAGAGAGAGAGGAGATTTCATAAAAAGAGTGTGGGTCAGTTGATGATTGCCACCTAACTCAGTTGCTATTTATATCAATACTTAAAACATAGTGGACTTACAATATTGCCCCTACTGTTAGCACAAATAAACAGCAGCTGACATAACTGAAATAACCAACTTTCTAACACTACTAACATGCTAACAGCAACATAAATAACATGCTAACTAACTCTACAGAAAGTATATTAACTGAAGCATTCCTTTATATCCTAACTATGTTGATCAGCTAAAACACATAGAAAGTTTCAAATCAAAAGGATGATGAACGTTTTGTTCTTGGGCCCAATGCATTTGTATATCATAGTGCCACATTGAAAGCATGATAACTGAACTGTTCCCTTATATCCTAACTATATTGATCAGCATACCACATATAAAAATATCACATGATACCAAAAACATATAATAAATAGGGCTTTTTCTTGAGAAAGAACAAGAAAAAAACCTGCAGAGAAGTCAAATACAATGGTTGTTTTATCATCATGATGACAGCTGGTTCTGGACTGGATATTCACTACCAAAAGCTAGTAGTATTTGTTGACAAGAAAGATGACCTACAAGCTTCAGTTCAAACGCCATGTAAATGGTGGCTCCGTGAAGAATGGCAACAGTTGGAACATCAGTAAGATGCAACTCTCCCTTGTCTGGTATGACTTCAGATTGGGTTAAGCCCCGCAGGTAGTACTGTTTGCATATTGCTCAACCAAATTCATCAATCCAACCCACCATTGCACTTGAACCATCATTCCATCCTTAGAAAATTCCAATCAAATCCACCCACTAGTGTATACAGCAGATACTATAACAGTCAGGACGTTATCGCTCTGAGAATGCTGCAACAGAACAGACAAAATAAATATATCAGAAATATAACTTTTTTATTGACAAGAGCAAAAAATGCTTTGCTTCCTTGCTACGAACCATTCAACTGGATAGACGAGAATTTTTGTATTATTAGCTAAAACTTTGACAGTGTAGTAGTGTACATATTAGGGCAGTTACAAGTCATTATGTAGTGCTTGAGTGCACAAATTGAATGGATTAAAATTCAGTTCATTTAACTCCTAAAGTTATCTCTAACCACGGATTCTTTGCATAGTGCATAAAATATGGTGAAATACTTTTGTAACATGTAAAACAGAAAAATATTACAATCAGTTCTGTACTTAAACAAGAAATTGACTGGCGGGTATGGGGATAATTGACAAAATAATAATTGAAAAAAAAACAACCTAATGATCAAACCATCCATGATGCATCTAGAGAGATAAATTCAATGTCCTATCTCCAAGAAATTGTGATGGATTGGACTTCCTTCTCAAAATAAATGTTGGGGAAATTCAAAAGTTTTCATCTTAGCACCATGAAAACCAATAGGAAACTAATTGGAAGGAAAATAAGACTTACTCTCAAAATGAAAGTATTCCAAACAGATGCGCAGGTAAAGCAAGAAGAATTGCTATAAGGAGGAGGAAGAAGGGTACTTATATCTCGACCACAAACATCCGATAGCAACAGTGGGTCCTCTTCAGCAGAAGTTGCCACAGCAAAGAGACCCAACACTATGAATACAAGCACTGGCATTGGATCATATCGCTTTTGCGGAAAGATTTTTCATTCCTTGCATGTTGCATCCCATTCCCATATAAATCAAGCAAGAATTCTAAACACAACTAATAGCTGTTGTTTTTCCATCTTAGCAACCTGCAAAATTAAGAGTACTGATGCTCTAGGAATTGTTTTAAAGAGCCAATATGAGAATTATTAATATAAAAAGGACCCCAAATCAAATAGCTTGTACTAACAGGCACTGTGATCACATAAAAAGTGATATGTAATCATATCAAGAATAGTGGTAAATGAGATTTGATGAGACTTAAATAGAAAGTAAAAAAAATAAAAATGAAAGTAGATATTGACAAGAGAATATGAAGTAAAATGTTGATATAGATTAATCGATTCTATATTGATATCTCACAACATATCAGCCAAAGTAGCCACAATGAGGATTAAGTGCACTTGTTTATACCAATGATGGGTCAATGCAGGGGTGGATAAATCTCTCAAGGGACTTCGATCATTTGAAGGGGCAAAAAATATAGATAATGAGGAAGGTGAGAAATACTAATGATGGATCAAATGCTAGATAAAACAAAATCATTAAGGCAGGGCCAAAGTACAATTGCTAAATCTCAAAATAAAAATAAAAAAGGGGGTTAAGGAAATTAGTTTATTTTAATAATTGGTAATATATAAAATCAATAAAATAGTCAGCATATAAAATAAATCTAAAAAATTATAAAAGGAAAAGGAGGGTTAGTTAATCTGCTTGTTCAAATGGTCTGTAGAAATGCAGAGTGGAATATGACAAAATAACTTGGGCAACCTATCAGACTAAACTAAGTTTAATTAAATTCTGAGAAAGATGAGGATAACTACCTTAATTTAGATAACAGTAGAAATCTGCTGAATTAAAAAATATGAAAGAAAAGTAGTTTCTTGAAGAGAGAAGGAAGCATGGTTTCAAATGTCGCCAAATGTCGCCCGACATATGTTGATGTCGAGGCTCACCGACATGAAAATGGATGGTAATATAAAAATTACATTATTTCGGTCGACATTATCTATACTTCGGAAATGTCAACCAAATCGGTCCAAATAACCAAAAAAAATGCAGTTTTTCCTATTATGTCGACAGGATGTCAACTAATTTCGACAAGATGTTGACCAATGTACATTAATAATTTCTATTTAACATTTCAAACAAAATATTTATAAAAAAGAATTAACAAAATATAAAAACAAAAGAATAAATTAATTACTTTATAACATAAAGCATAAAATATTTTTCAAGTAATAAAATATTAACTAGTT